AAAAAAAAAAAAAAAAAAAAAAAAGCGATTTTTTTTTTTTCTATTTATTTTCCTCGAAACGTAAACAAGCAACGCTTAGCCTGGCGGCGAGGCTAGTAAAGCATGGCGGGCCGCCAGGCTTATAATACACTGGGGGAAACCCTGGAACCCACAGGATCACTGACTGGTTCTGGACCGGTTCTGACCCAGTAGCTCAGCAGAACCTAGGTCTTTGTTTTGGACCTGGGCCCATCTGCTGTTGGACCCTGAGAGAGAGCAGGTGGCAGAGAGGAGAAAGAGGTGGAGGAGAGGTGGAAGAGAGAGATGGAGGAGAGGAGAAAGAGGTGGAGGAGAGATGGAGGAGGGAGGTGGAGGAGAGGTGTGTGACCTTGAGTGTGTCCAGCAGGTGCAGGCAGTGGTAGACGGGGGTCAGCAGCAGCCTGGGCAGGACGTAGCGGACGGCTTCTTTAAATCCCTCACAGATGGACTGGAACAGAGGATAAAGAGGTCCATCTTCATCAGCGACATCATCGTTCTGTATTTAAAGGGACCCTGACCCCAATAAGAGAAGAAGAAGCCACTGCTGGCTGCGCCTCCATTAGCACTGCTAGCTCCACAGCCTTTAGCGCTGCTAGCTCCACAGCTTCTAGCGCTGCTAGCTCCACAGCCTTTAGCGCTGCTAGCTCTGCCCCTCTAGGCCGGTTGCAGCCATGATAACTTGCCAGTTCCAGAGGCATGGCCGGGCTGAACTGGGGGTCCGGTTCTCACTCATGTCAGACCTTCATCATCATTGTGGGACCTGTCAGGTGAAGCGCCCACCCAGGTGTGACTGGTCTTACCTGCAGATGGACGGAGGCTCCAGGTTTGGTCACCAAATCCAGGAAGTGATCGTGGAAGGCAGGATGCAGGACTTCCTGAGCATACGCCTCATAGGGGTCAAAGGCCAACTCCTGCCAATCAGAGGACAGATGTGTCAGCGGCAACCAGGTGAGCGGCTCCAGGTGAGCGGCTCCAGGTGAGCGGCTCCAGGTGAGCTCACCTCTGCCAGGTCCTCAAAGCAGCTGCCCACCAGTGGGTGGGGGCTGCCCTCGTCCGTCATCTCCACCGTGTCCTCCAGCAGGCCCAGCAGCTTCACCGTCACTTCCTGGATGTCCACCAGGCGGCCAAAGATGCTGTCCACGTCCTGGGGGACAGGGAACCGGGTCAGAACCGGAACCGGGTCAGAACCTGAACTGGAACCAGCAGAGCCGTACCTGTGTGGAGAAGAGGGTGGGGCAGGAGGCGAAGGGCTCCCTGAACACCTTGAGCAGCAGGTGCAGCTGCCTCAGGTACTGGTGTCCGTCAGCCAGGAAGCTCCGGACCAGGTCGCAGTATCGCTGCTCCTCATTGGCCGACGGCTCCTCGTCCAGCAGCGGGAACAGACCCATGTCCTCCTCGTCCTGGTGGAACATGTCCATCAGAACCTGCAAGGTAGCCTGGAGGTTAGACCGGCCCAAAACCCCGACCCGATCTGACCCATTAAAACCTTGCTGCTCTCCTTTGTTGTAGCTGCTGTGTCGCTGTTTCCGAGTAACTGGGTCAAATGCCAGCACCGTCTAGTGACATCATCAGGGTAAGTCAAAGTACAAAACGCTCGGATTTCATTCGTCCTTTCAACACTGATTATGAATTCTGTTTTTTTATGAAAATTTAGTTTTAGGAAAAGCTTGTTGAGGTTTTACACCTGCGCCCTTCGTCACCAGAGATACAGCGGGGCAATGGTGGGTAACCATGGCAACAGGGGTCAGCTTGCAGATTTCCACCATGTTTACAGACCCCTCTGTATTTTATTAATCTTGGTTTTTAAATATTTTATCACTTTTGTGTGAATCTCTTCACTACATTCAGTGACTGTTCAGCTCTTCATCGTTTCTTCTGCCCAGAAACACCGGAGTCATCGTCACTTCCTGTCTGAATGGATCAATAAATAATGAATATGGCTGCCGTCCTTCAGCATAACCAGCTCCGTCCTCTTCATCACTCCATCCAGGTTTGTCTTCTTCCTCCTAAACTGCTGAGAAATCGCTTCATCCTCCCCGACTCCTCAGTCCTTTCTGTTCTTATCTAACCTTTGACCTTTGCAGCACATTAGCCCGACCCGACCACATAAGGTCTAAGGTTCAGCTGCTCACCTTGTCGGCGCACATCGCCACAGTGATGTCCTGCTTGGTGATGTCATCATGGCGGATGTTTCTGACGTAATTCCCCGCCAGCTTCAAGATGTCTGCCGAGATATACTCCAGAACGGCGACCATGTAGACGCAGACCTGATGGTCGAGTTTATAGCCCAGCACCTCCTGCAGGGGGAGGAGGAGGAGGATGAAGAAGAGGAGGATGAAGAAGAGGAGGATGAAGAGCAGCATACCTTGAGCAGGGGGTGGATCTTGTCGACAGGAAGTGCCAGCGGGTTCTTCCTTTTCTTCTTCTCGATGGCAGCCAGAGCGTCGGCGATCGCCCACTTATCGATGGGGTGAGGGAAACTCCTCTGGACCCGCTCCTGAAGAGAGACGGGTCAGAACCGGGGCCTGAACCAGAACCGGTCCTCTGGAGTCCAAGCTGGAGGTTCTGATGGTCCTCGGAAGGGTCAAAGGTCAACAGAACAGCCAGAGGTTCTGTATCTGACACGTTTTTTTGGGTCGCAGACTGATGTGTTTGCTGCCCCCTGCTGGCCGTCCCTTTACTCTGACCTTGGTCAACCTGAGCTGGACAGAAAGTTCTGCCAGGTTCTTGCTGAAGGAACCCAGCAGTGGGCCCAAACGTCTAATAGAACCCGGTCCAGCAGGTTTAAAGAGGTTCTGGAGAACCATTCACCTGCAGGGGCCATATTGGGCCCTGGACCCGGTGATGGTTGGTTCTGGTCCGGTTCTGGCTCAGGCCATCTGGCTATTCTGAACCAGTCCCAGTACCATCAGCTCCTAGCTCTGAACTGAACCTCTCTGGAGACCGGTTGCCATGGTAACAGCCAATCAGCTGCTCTGTGAAGTCTTGACGGTGACATCACAGCTGCAAGCTGCTGATTGGCTGATTGTCATCACCACCAGACAGGAAGACAGAGGGATTGGGCAGAGCCAGAGTGAGTGAATGAAAGGCCACACCCATTGCATGATGTCATCGGCTTTAGTTAAACCCACCATCTTACAGACAGGTGTGTGTGTGTGTGTGTGTGTGTGTGTCTCCTCCACGTCCTGCACGGTGCGCGGCTGAGCCTGACACAGCATGCTGAGCAGTTGCAGGATCAGGTCCTCGATATACTGCAGCGCCTCCTGCTGGGACTTCAGGTTAGGATGCACCTGGTACAACACCTGCACGCACACACACACACACACACACACACACACACGTTTGTTTGGCTTCCATTGGTTGTAGTTGCGGTTCATGGCTAACCAGACATGTTGCCTAACCTAATTCCCCCTCTGAGCCTGACCTCTGACCTCTGACCCAGCTTTGGTCCCCAGAAGGTTAGTAAATGGCGGAGCAACACAAACTTCCGGTGCTTCAAAGTCAGACTGGGAAGAACTCGCTCTGACCCGATTCATCTCGCCTCAGGAACTGGATCAGAACCACAAAGCTTGAACATGCTGTAGGATCAGAACTGGAACTGGGCTGGTTCTGGTCAGACAGATTTCCGTTTGGACCCGCTGGGTTCTGGTTCTAAAGGGAACTTGTTTCCTCTGGAGAGTCACCTGAACTCGCCTAGTTCCGCCATGACGGGCTTCATGTGGGCGGGGCCAGTTCCAACAGAGCTGCTTCCTGGTTGGTCCAGCTGCAGAACCAGAACCAGGCAGCACCAGATCACCTGAGGAACAGGTGACTGCTGCAGCTCTGAGGTTGTTCACTAATGAAAAGAGTCAGTGATTGGCTGGCTGGCGATGATGTCAGCAGGTGTGGAGCAAAGGTGAAACATCAGCATCAGCAGCGACCCTGATCAGGAGTCAGGAAGCCAAGGAGGAAATCTGACCGTCCAGGTTCTGACCCGGACCCAGAACCACCTGAAACCACAGCTGCTGGCTTCATGACCTCACTAACTACCTATGTGACATCATGCGGAGATGTGACATCACTGGTTGTCAAGGAAACCATTCACTGAACAGTCCGGGGAGCTGACTATGGTACAACCTGAGCGTTACCATGACAACAGAGGACGGGTCAGAACCTGGACCGAGTTGGACAAGAACTCCAGGATGTTGGACCTGATCTGCTTCTGGTCCTATCGTCTCCCTGACTGAACCGGGTCAGAGCGGTTCGGTTCGGTGGTACCTTCTCCAGGGCCGGAACCAGCAGGCCTCTCCACTTTCCGGCGTTGTCCTCGCTGAAGAAGTCGTACTGCGGCTGGGCGGCCTGCATGTCTGCGGCCCGGGCCGGCAGCTGGAGCCCCGCGGCGGGCCGGACCGGCACGGCAGGCCGGGCTACATGAAGCGAGCCCCGGATCCGGCGGGGCCGGGACGATCCTCCGAAGCGGACCCGGTCCCCGCCATCATCCTTGGCCGTCCCGCGGAGGGGCCGCGGAGGCTTGGCTGGAAATTAGCTCCGCGGTCTGCAGCTGGGAGTCGCTTCGTTGGTTCGGTTCGGGTCAGCGGGAGGAGGACATGGTGCCGTTAGCCTGTTAGCTGCGGAGCTGCTAGCGGCGGGGATCCCCTGGTTCTCCGGGAAGGCGGCCCGCAACTGCCGGTGTCTGCCTCTCTGGACTGTAGCGGAGACTCTGGGAGCAGCTGGGCCGGTTCGGTGGACTCGGCTCGGTACCGTCGGGTCTCATAGACGTGGCTCCGATCATGCAGTTCCTGCTCTGGGTGTGAAAGCCTGACCGGGTCTGGGTCTGGTTGCGGGGCCCGGCGGACGGACACTCGCCGACCAAACGGCGGCGGTTGTTGTCACTTTGGCGGTGCCGTACACGGTGCTCACCTGCGCATGCGCTGTCTGCAGATCACTGACGTATATTAGCGGGGTCTCTGATGAAGGAAGCGCGCGGCCGGCCGCGGTACTGCAGTGAGGCCAAGCTGCGGGTCGGAACCCTTGGTTCGTTTGGTACCGAGCTGCGGGTCAGCTCCCAGTTTTCATCCCTGATTCGGTGTTAAATACTGATTACCAGTAAAGTTTTAGGGTCTAAATGTTTAATTTCAGACCTGCTCTGTCTTGTCTTCACTCTCTAGACCAGCGCTGACAAACTGCTGCTCATTTTAGAATATACCGAGGTTATGGGTATTCTCCAAGGATTTAAATCTTCCCCTTTAGTCTCTACAGGACAACATGGGCCATTTTTTTGGCCCCCAGGCCTTGAGTTTAAGTGGATTCCTCCTTAGATCTTCATCAAACTGGAACAATCTGACCCATGGTCAGTATCACAGGCCTCACAGGTTAATTTGATGGAGGTCTCCATCAGCCCTCCATCAGGTCTCCATCAGCCCTCCGTCAGCCCTTCATCAGGTCTCCATCGGGTCTCCCTGGATGTAGCAGATGTTTCAGTGTTCAACTGGTCTTAGCGTCAGACCGGTTCTCCTGTCTGCGGTTTGGTTTCCGCAGCAGAGAGAGGAAGAGTCGGTGCTCATCATCCTCCTCACAGCAGCTTCTAGAAACCACGTTTCTCTGAAATCACACTGACTGACTTCACATCTGCAGGCCCACTGGGGAAACAACCTGACCTTCTGCAATGCCACCACAAGCAACTGGAAGAGGCAAAAGCAATGTGACACGCAGGCCCAGAAGAACTGGGTCAGTCAGAGGGCATCTGAAGGTCAAAGGCAGTTACTCACATTTTAGCTGTAAGAAACAAAGACATGAAGCCACATGGAGGCGTTACATCGTTTATTTACAGTTAAATCTCAGAATGACATCAGCAGATACAGAGGCAACTCCAGAACCCAGCGGGGGGCAGCAGAACCCAGAGGGGGGCAGCAGAACCCAGCGGGGGGCAGCAGAACCCAGAGGGGGCAGCAGAACCCAGCGGGGGGCAGCAGAACCCAGAGGAGGCTCTCGAGGTGTTATTAGCACAAGGTTCTGTAAGGGATCGGTTGCGGCTGACGTTAACAGGTCAGAGAGTCTCTGGGCAACGAGGACAGAAACCTGGACGGCTCTGACAGACTTGAGGCATCTGGTTCTGATCCAGGACTTCCTGACCCAGCTCCACAGGAACAGAACTGGAGGGGTATACCGGGTTCTGATGAAGTTCCATCTGGGAAGCAGCTGGATCTAGACTCCGGTTCTGGAGCGGGTTCTGCCATAGATCAGGCAGAACCAGGGTGGTCAGTGGAATGGACCTGGTACTATTTTTCTGACCCATAAACTCTCTGACCTGGAAACTGGTTCGGTCCAGTTGGTCCCGTCCAGTTTGTGGCTCAGTAGCTGAATGATCAGAACTATCAGAACACAGCTCCACAATAATACAGGATCAGAACATTTACAGTATTTACATCCAGGCTGTGGTCCAAAGTTCACAGAGCCAATCTCTGGGCTTCTCCAACCAGAACCAACCAACCCATTGATCCGGTTAGGTCCAGTTAGGTCCTTCAGGTCGGACTGATGGAACCGGACCCGAGCAGCAGAATTCTGGACAGGAGCAGCTGAGTTTCAGTTCTGTTCTGCAGGTCCGGTTCTTAAGCAATCAATGGCCCGGTTCGTCCTACAGACTGAAACTTCTGAGCGCGCTCATTGGGGCGTTTGTGTCATCCAATCAGATGATCACTTGCAGTCACCTGACCTCACCTGGTGTAGAAACACCTGGAATCCATAACTTTATCAAGCTGAGAGATGAGTCCAGAGACGTCAACAAGTCGAGTTAACGGGTCCAGAGACGTCAACAAGTCGAGTTAACGGGTCCAGAGACGTCAACAAGTCGAGTTAACGGGTCCAGAGACGTCAACAAGTCGAGTTAACGGGTCCAG